AGGCTCCTTTTCTCATCTGCAAAATGAGAATGAGTAATTACTACCTCATAGAATCACTGTGCCTCGTAAATAAGATAAAGTGCACAAAGACCTGAGTTTAGCAAACTTGTGCTTATCTTAAATGCTAGCTATTAATCCATTATCTCTAACAACTAGGTAGTTAGAAGTTAAAGAGACATGAAGTTGTTACTGTGATATATGTGAGACAGAGCTCAAGGCATTTTATTATTCCTTGAGCCGGTGTTGACAAAACCCCAGGTTTGGCTACTTTTGCCAGAAGGAAAATGATGATCACTAGTTTCATTTGTCAGCGCCTTACATGCTCTCCTATATGCGATGTTTCATTTTACCATGCTGTGGGATTTCTCTGGACCTAAAGAACAGTGAATCACCCCTTCGCTATTTAGTAATTATGCCCTCTATCAGGGCACCTCATGTTAGACACTAGAGATAAAATCATGACAGAAACACTGGCCCTGTCCTCCTGGGAGATTACTGTCTAATCTTCAGGTATGTTCTTTGCAGAGTGCCTTGGAGTCCATCTGTTTACTGGAAAAAATGTTCACTTTTTTCCAGTAAAGATGAGGAAGATATATACTTACTCACCTGTTTACTACAAAGATGTTGCAGGAGGTATGACATTTTAGACCACAGACTCAGGGGGCAGAAAAAGGAGGTAACCTTATTTGTCTATAAGTGAACTTATTTTCTGTCTTGAGACCTCATCCCATCAGGTAGTGAAAAGACAATCTTGGGTAGTTTGGCATGAACTCCCCATCATCTCAAGGTATCCTCCTTTGCTCTTTCCCATGAAGTTTCATTTTCTTCTCTGGACCTCATAGCCTTAAGCTCTCTGGTCGGGAGAGTTGTCTTGTCCCTGGGAGCTGTGACTATCACACTGCCACCTCCACCATCGCTGTGTTCTTAACATCAACAACTGCAGGGTCACCCACCTTCCCTCTGATATTCAGCTGCTCAGCCATCCTTCCCAAGTCCGCCCACCCTCTCATCTGTCCTTCATGCTCTTCCCAGATTTACAAAAAAACATTGCCGACCCACCCCGGGGCTGTCTCAGGACCTCTGTTCAGTAGTCTATGAAGCTCTCTTACATAGAAAGCTGACATTACGATAATGCAGAAGAATGTCTGTGACACTGCCATGCCCAAGGCTCCCAGATAACAAGTCAGAACAGGGTTCCTTTTCTTCTGTTCTCATATCCTAAGTCTGTAAAAGAATTCTACTGATCTCTCTAACCCGAGGAGTCAAAGGTAGGGTCTTCTCTCAGGGATCCATCCCAGCAATTCCTTCTATTGTTTCTTTCCTTCAGTTTCACTATTTATATTATACTCCTCAAGAGCGCTTCCCTTTCTCTCCAAATCATAGAGTTTTCACCTCCACTGGTGCAGGAAAAAATTGTGTCAGGAAGTATTCTTCCAACTCTACTGTTTCATTCAAGGTCCTTAGCTTCTGGGGCTCAAAAGTCAATCAATAAATGTTAATTTTGTCTAGTCGGGGAGTTTATGTGTTATGTCTTGATATCCCAATGAAATAATGGTATGAAGCTTTAATATCAAGAGGAAGAGTCCTCTGGGAAAAGGGGGGATGTGTGAGAAGAACTGCAGTCAGAGGAGCCAGGTCCATATCTTCATGTCAAGATAGTGATGGAATGTTTCCTTATCACTTCTTCTAGATCTGAAGTCTGGTCTCTACACCAAATGTTAGGGGTTGAGTTGTGTCTCCCCAGGAAGCTTTGATAAAGTCATTCCGCTGGTACCTGGGGATAAAATCTTACTTGCAAATAAGGTCCTTGCAGATTTAATCAAGTTAAGATGAGGTCATTAGGGTGGGCCCTAATCCCGAATGGCTGTTGTCTTTATAAGAAGAGGAGACACACATGGAAACGTGGGGACGCAAGGGGAGAATACCATGCGATACCAGAAGCAAGCTGAGGTGCTGACGCTGCAAGCTGAGAAGCGCCAGCGATTGAAGCCGCCAGAAGCTAAGACGAGGCGGGAATGGTTCTTCCCCAGAGCCTCTGTGGGGATCGCGGCCCTCCTGACCACTGACTTGGGATTTCTCACTCCCAGAACTGCAGGACCACGCGTTTCTGCCCCTTTAAGTCATTCTGTTTGCGTTTTCTGCTGCTGTCGTTATGACAGCCCCAGGAAGCCCGTATACCGACTAACCTCGGCACTTCAAGGGTTGCTCATTTTGAAAGGATTTAAGTTTCAAGGAAATCGGCTCATGTTATCTAAGCTCTCTTGAGACTTCACTAATTTCTAGAAAACTGAAGTGAGCCCTCAAAAAATCAGCAAGATGATGTTAACGACGCCTGCCCGGGGCTACATTGCCTGGAGTCCTGTGCTGAGACGTCTGAGGAAGACCAGAGGTGAGAGAGAGGCAGCTCCAGCATTCAGGTGGAGTTGCTTTGAGTGGCCACAGTTTTGATCCTTGTGAGAAGGTGGGGAGAGCATGTCTCCACTAGCAAAAGGAAAAGAAAAGGTGGTCCAATATGAAAGAAGTGGCCAGAATAAAGAACGCACCACACATCACAGACCATAAAGAAGAAACAGGTGCAGCAGGCTAATCTTCCAAACAGAATTGAAGCAGACGCCAAGGAGGAAAGACTTCATGTGAGCCTGTGGGGTGAAGGCAGCGACGACACGCTGCGCTCCTTCGGATAACCTCACTCGCTGCGCTCCGCCGTTCCCTGAGGGCTCCTTCCCTTCTCTCAGGCCCAAAGCCTGGGTCACAGGAGCGCGCCATCCTGTGTACTCCTCCCGAGAAAAACGCATCAGACTTTTTGAGCCCCGGAGACTAATTTCTACAAGAGGGTCTATTTATTGACCAATTTTCTGTGAGCAGTGTACTGCTCACTGATGCTGTTTCTTCCCACTGGGAAAAACTACGGGAGAAAACTAAACAAACGTCCACAGCTGTTAGTGAAAACAGAACTAAAACACAGGAAATGACACTTCGGTAAGGAATGTTTCATCAGACCGTACGTTCTGATGAATCATCTCTCTCCACAGAGGAGACACCTACCAGGAGAAGAGCCGTGGCTGAGAGATGCCGCCGGTCCCTTCCCGTGGAAGCCCTCCCCTGAGCTTCACCTGATAATACTGGATACAGAACCTACATCTTTTTAAAGCATGTTTTTCTCTCTTCCACATACACTTCATAGACTGGTATAGATATTTTTAATTATGTTTATTTTAAATAGCTTATATTCGAAACAAGACAAACAGGCAAGCATCAATAATGAAGGTAGATCTTTCCAGATGTAGGTATGTGGTACTTTCATGACTTCATGGATGCTCTCTCAGACTCACTCGGGACCACAATGCTCTTTTTCCAGAACGTAGCTATTAAACAGTAGTGCGTTAGTCACTCAGTCATGTCTGACTCTTTGCAACCCCATGGACTGTAGCCTGCCAGCCTCCTCTGTCCATGGAATTCTCCAGGCTAGAATATTGGAGTGGATAGCCTTGCACTTCTCCAGGGGATGTTCCCGACCCAGGGATCGAACCTGCGTCTCTTGTGTTTCTTGCATTAGCAGGCATGCTCTCTACCACTGTACCACCTGGGAAGCCTAACTATCAGATAAGGACAAAGTAAATAAATGCATCACTCTCAGAAGGGATTTTCATCTAGCTGCTGTAGCCTGATGAGTAACCTCTTCTATTCTACAGATAATTCTGTTTAAAGACCAAGGCTGGTGAACAGGAATTTGAATGCACTCTCTTCAAGACATTCCAAATACATTTTGGAGAATATTTTCAGAGTCTAGACTGAGGGAGTACTTTTCTTCAGAAGAATTAATATGACATCTAAATTGCTGGAACACATCAAGGCTCAGTCATGGGGACGTTTTACTTCATTTTTAAAAACTCTCTATCATAAAGTCCCATCCTTTAAATACCATCTATGTGCTGATGGATATATTGCTCTATGTCTGATCTCTTCAATAAAGTCAGATTTCTATATCCAACTCTAAGCTTGACAGTTCTGTTTGATTTCTGCCCTACAACTCAACTTTACATTTCCAAACCAGAAATTATGACCCAGGACATTCTGTCTACCACAGCTGTGGCTACTCTGATACTCTCCATCTCAGTAAATGACACCTCCATCCATAACACATGTAAATCCATGGCTGATTCATGTCAGGGTATGGCAAAACCCACTACAATTAAAAAAAAAAAAGACAAATGACCACAGATAATAAAAAGAAAAAAGAAAGACCTGTCTACTGCTGCATTGATGATGGTAACACAGCAGTGCCAGCTGTCTGGTAACGCCCCGGTTTAGCACCTGAAGTCCTGTGTCTTCAGAACTGCCTCAGCCCCTGAAAGACTGGGAAGGCTGTTCACCCTGTGACTGAGTGCATGCATTCAGTAAACACTTCCTAAATGAATGCATTTAGTAACCATGTCAGTAAAGATAATTTTTGAATACTGAGAACAGTAATTTCTTATTATGGAAAACAAACTATATGACTTAACAGAAGTTCTAGGCTACTCTAATTATTAATGAAATTTTAAAATAGTTTGCAAAGATAAAAATCTAAACTGGCTGTCTACAGTTTCACTGGGAAACACAAATTAAAATAGTTTAGGACAAAATATTCAAAGTTAAAAATATGATCCTATGATCATGGGAAACTAATGGAAAAAAACCAAATCAATTCATCAAAAATATTTATATTGGAATCTATAGCTAGACCTGCACTTCCTAAAATGTGGTCTGATGAAATGCTCCTACAAAATGCAGGAAGAGGAGAGAAGGTGGGGATGCAGAAGACACAACACCGCCCTCATGGAAGTCAATGGCTCTGAGAATTCAGAAAGCAAAGACAACTTCTCAACATTGATAAACCCAGAAGTTTACATACTGGACTAGATAATTCTTTTTGTCACATTTATTCGTACACCATAGCATTTAAGAATATATTTTGGGAAATGCAACCATAAACCACAGAGTCCCAGACATCAATCAGGATCCACCAGGAAACTTCAAGCCTATGCTCTTAGATATCCAAGCTCTGATCCAGACGGTCTCGGTAGTTCGCAGAGACTTGCAGCAGGCAAAGAAGTACTAATGGCAGCACCACTCCTTTATGATGGCCTTGCTGTCAGCACCTCCAGACCCAAGATCTGAAGTCTAAGAGAAGCTAAGGCTGTTCTTCATGAGAAGTGGACACAACAGAACCCTCACCATCTGGAAACAAAGGACATGGAAACTATAGGCAATTTGATTATGAGGAGGCAGATATTTGGCTACTACTCTGTCAAAAGAAGTTAACAGTTTGAAGATCCAAAAGAATGAAAATATACAGTACACTGCTCATAATTAAGTTCAAACCATGGTAATCTGATGCATTGTTATTATTATTTTTCTTTATTAACAAAATTATCAAGTCATATAACTAAGCATCATCAAAGATTTGTGGAGGGTTACCAAGAAAAGACAGAATGATTATTTTGGAAGGACTTAACATTCAATTTTTTTAAAAGGAACGAATTATGGTATAATTTGTCTGAAGACAGTTTAGGGTGGCATTTAGTAAATTAAGCTTTGACTAAGAGAGCACAGTTAATTCAGGGAAGTCAGTTGGGACAAGGCACATTTTAAAGAATCACACATTGGAAAAATAGCATAATGTATAAGTATAAACAATTTCTATTTCTAAAGGAAGTACAAAATGTATCAGTAAACTTTTTTTTGTCTGAAGGCTGGAGAATGAAGGATAAAATGGGGGTAAGCAAAAACTGATGCATAAAATGAATTGCTATTTCCAGAGAAAGCTAAGCAATTTAAAATTCAGAATGAGTAATAGATTGTTGTAAATATTTTAAGGGGGAAAAGAAAAAGAGTCCGTGTAAGCTCCTTAATAAATTAGAACTATTAAATCCATGATGGACAAAATGCTGAGCCACTGAATTTGTTTTAATTGTTGCAGGTAAAAAAAAAAAAATAAAGGAAGCTTTCAGGAAAGAAAGAATTCAGTGTGAGAATTATGTGACTCCTTTGGGAAGCTGAGGGGTATATACTAAGCTGGAGAAGAAAGGTGATGGTCAGGATGGGGGAGGGGGTGTGTTTAGTACGAACTTCATTTATTTGGTTGGCTCCCTCAATGCTCTAATTTTTCATAGTTGGAACTGATTCACAGGTGCCCCATTCCCCACAGACTATGTGGAGGACAGGGTTTGTTAAGCAAATTACTACTGTAAACACAATTTGAAAACTATTGTTTCAACAAATCTGGCAGGTTCTTTGCTTGGCAACCTTTGGTTGGCCATTAGCGGATGTTACTAATTAACCTGCTCCTTCTGCCATCTGCTCTTTTCTCTTCACAGTCTCTCCCTTGGAGAGTGAGTGCATCTATTCTTGTGACTTTCACCATCACCTCTTTGCTAATGACTCCCAAACTTATGTATTTATCTCTCAATCTTTTCCAAGTCCAAGCCTCACAAGTTCAAAAGCTAAATCAAAATCTCTGTGTGTAAAGCCAATTTCATTGTGTATTTCCCCAAACCTGTCACCTGCCCTAATTTCCCTATCTTTGTCAATGACAACATCCTTCTGCCAAGCAATCAGTCTTAATAACTTGGAGCAACTTAGAATTACTTTTATCCTCATAGCTCACATGAAGTAAGTTCTCAAATTCTCCATTCCAATAACCCTACCCTAGGCTATAGATCCACGGACTCATTAATGAAATGCCACGTGGGGCCTCTGACTTTTACTCTTCCCCAGTATACATTTCTTGCTGTATAGCTTTAATTGTGTCAATTCCCTCATCAGAAACTCATTTCATTCCCACACCAGACTTTATGAGATAGTTAGTGTAACAAAGATAATAAAAGCATGGATTCTGGAGCCAGAATGCTTGAATTCAAAGCCCAGCTCAGGAACATCTCCACTGTAAGGTCTATGCCAAGTGAGTCAAACTTTCTGGGCTTCAGTTTCCTTCTCTGTAAAATGATAATAATAATAACTGTATCATAGTCTTGTAGCAAGGATTACATGGGTTAATATATTTAAAGCCTTTAGAACAATACCTGGTACATAGTTAATGTGCAAAAAATATTAGCAATTATTATTATAACAAGATGTACCTGCTTATTTTTCAAGGTTCCCTAAATCACACTTCATCTCAGCCTAATAATCTTATTTCAGATGACTTGATCACATGAACTTCCATTCATTATGCTGAGCACCTCAACATTAGATAGGAACGTGTGATTTCTTGCCTCCATGCCTTCCCTGCAAGGAACACATTGTGTTTCCCACCCCTCAAAGGCCACTGGCATCCCTCCTATCCTCACAACAGCACCTCCAGCCTCACTAATAAGTCTGCTTGCTGAGATTCCTCAAGTATTTATAGGTAACAATTTGGATTTTAATTACAAACTTTTTAATAAGAGTTCACTGGTGGCTCATTTGTATGATTCTTGCTTTCCTTGCCTTACAACCACATGCAATGAAAAAAGGCCTGGACTGGAGTCTGAAAAACTAACTTGAACTCAGCCAGTAATTCAAGCCTGTTTTCCTTACTACCTCCATTCATCACAGTACCCAGCACACCATGAGTACTTAGTATACACGATAGATAAATGAATGAATGAAGAAAAGCAAAAAGGAAGTCTGGAGGGGTATACTATCAGAAAGCGCATGTCAGCTAACATTCAGCAATTGCAGTCTGTAGCCTGTCCATTCTGTTTGCTGTATCTCAGAACAGTGCTGAGAAAGGGACCCTCGAGGGCAGGGAAGCATTGATCACAGACGTTATGATGGGTGGTTTACTTATGTGACCTCGTTTAATATCCTGTGGAGTGGGCATTGTTAACATCTTTTATAAAAAAAGGATCTGCATTCAGAAACATGGATGAGTGAGTGAACTCACTCAGTTGTGTCCGACTCTTTGTGACCCCGTGGACTGAGGAGCCTGGTAGGCTACAGTCCATGGAATTTCCCAGGCAAGAGTACTGGAGTGGGTTGCCATTTCCTCCTCCAGAGGATCTTCCCGACCCAGGGACTGAACCCAGGTCTCCCGCGTTGCAGGCAGATGCTTTACTGTCTAAGCCACCAGGGAAATATGAATAAAACTGGAAAGAGGTCTCTTCACTGGAAAGCCCATTTTTTCCCACTACCCTGTACTATTTCTCTCAGACATACTTCTCAACAAACAACTTTAAAAGTTCAGTTTATAGAATACTTAAAAGTGAAAACCACATGTACTTTAAAACATGCATATTGCATCATGCTATACTATATGCTCTGTAATATTTAGGGAATTAATGTTTTGTATTTCAGAAATTTTAACTCGTTCATAATATTACCCAATATTATCCAAATTGGTAAGTTTTCAGTGAACTTAAGAGGCTAAAATGCTTCTTGATTTATGCTCTTTTGTATCCTTATCTAATTTTCTTAAACATCTGCATCTGATTTACTAGGCATTACTAATTAGAGCAGCAGTTAATAGTTAAATAAACTGATCTTTAAGTTGCAAACTTAAAATATCTTAGAGGTAAATTACCAATTTAGTGATTACTGCTTAAATACAAGTTTTAAAGAAATTATCTTATCTACTCTATAAGCCATCAGTGGCTTAAAAATTAGATAAATTAAAGAAACAAATGCCAATAAATTACAAAAGAGAAATTAAAATAAGCTATATAATATGTTAAAAAGCAAAAGCAATAATAACTATCACTGTTAGATAGAATAATACAAGCAGAGATAGCACTGGACATAGAGTCAATGAAGCTGAGTTTGCAAACTAGTTGACCCTTTCCCTGACTATGTAACATTGGACAAACTACTTTACCTCTGTCACTAGACGTCCAGCCACTCATTTATAAGATACATTATCTAATTAGCATGTGTGCATATATGTGTGCAGTATTTACCCTCTTTATACATAATTCACAAATACAAATGTATAATTATATTACATATATAATATCCATATGTCTGATTTGTAAAGCATAAAGTGACAATAAATAGCTAACACTAATATATACATATTAGTTGAAAGATTAGAATTTCCAGAAGAAAGTATTATAAAAGCTTTGTATATCAATAAGATTTTTTTAAAAACAATGGAATCAAATGCAAATAATTTTTAAGTCACTATTGGAAAGTAATAAAATTACTCGATGAATTGTAATGGGTTTGAATAAGACTTCTTGAAACTACTACTAAATTTTTGCAGGGAAATATTCAGTTTGATATGACTGAATACAATGTAGCGTGAAAATCATTTAAAGGACATTTTAACATGGTGAGAAACAGAAGTTTGAAAAAAAGAATTCTATAAAATAATGTGACTCATAGAGCTGGATTCAAGTTATTTTTTACCTTCAAATAACTTTAAAGAATACTGCCAGTTTCTGTTCTTAAACAAAAGAAATACCAAATAGATAGCAAGAGAAAAATGGTGTCTTTTGCACGCAATGTCACGGTCAGAAAGAGCACAGAGGCGTCCCAAACCAAAGTGCCACTTTAAATCATGTGAACTTCAATTCAAACAGCAGAAAACTTACTGGAAATATTTCATGAGTTACCTCTGTACTATTTCTTAGTACACCCTATTTAATCTCTTAATCTCTTCCGCCTTTTCTTTTGAATATTTCCTCCTGAAAGTAGAAAATTAAGTAGGAAAAGAGAGGAAATTAACATTCATGTCTACATCTCTTGTCTATTGCCAACCCTTGAAATCACCGAAGTCCTTGAGACCGTTTCTCCATTTGCCGAACAGCAGAGTCTCATGAGAGGTGAACAGTTGGCGGAGAGTTCACTGTCATCCGGAGTGCCTAACATTTCTACTTGCTCTGGAAGTCACACCTACACATTTAAAAAGATTCTTAAAGAAAGTCTGCTTCATAATGATTACAGGTACTTTTGTGAGAAAAGGAAAGAGAGGAAGATAATTTGCATTAACAAAAATATAATTTTTACAATGTATCTTTTCAAATTTCAAGTTTTTGCCTCAAATTTTATTCTAAAGCAAAAAATACTTAGCAGCCACAACAAGCACAGTTGAATGTCATAATGTTGCCCACGGGGCAGGAATTGAATTAAGAAGGAAAAGCACTAAATGGCCAGCCTGTGAAAAATAAGGGAAAGGAAGGAACAGCACTGAGAGGTAATTGGGAAGAACAGAGGAGAAAACCTTGACTAAATCTCCTCCCACACATCACCGTTAGGAGCTGATGGTACCCTTTGTTTTCCTTCACAACGAGAAGGCACATTTTGCTCATTAAACCATCTGCTAGTGGCTTGGTTGTTACTTGAGAAAAAAAGAAAAACATATTTGTTTTGAAAGTAACAAGATGGATTTATGCAAGCTTACCTGAGACTCTACAAAAAGCACATGGAAAGAAATGTTCTGCCAGGAGCAGAATGCAGGATCCAATTCAATAATTTATGATTTAAAGACTTAAAGTTTTTAGGTAGTGCCACTTGCATCAATGAGCCAATCAATTCTGAACGTCTTGTTGGAAAACAATTATGCCTTTTTTCAGCTTATATATGAGATTGGTCTGTTTCAGCTTCCTGCCCATCTATAGTTTTTACCTTGCTTGAGTTATAACTTGAGACTGTCTAGAATAGCATCCTCCTCGTACGATCTTAGGAACCCCCTGTGACACTTGCTAAAAACATAGCTTCCTCGGCCCCATTCCAAAGTTACTCAATCAGAAACTTTTCTGGAGATCATTTAATCTCCAGATAACTTTGATAATCGGTAAATTCAGAATTACTGCCACTGAACAGTTTTGTAACCCTCCCTGACCTTAATTCTGCATCCTGCTGTCCCTTCTCTCAACATGGACACATCAACGTAAAGGAGCCAAAAACATATAACTTTAATTCAAATTTGTTGTCTATGCTCTAGGAATAATTTTATCACTGTTTCCTTCTCACCATGTAATGTCAAAGAATTTTAATATTAGAGTTATGAAGATCTTTCTCTAATGGATAGAACTTATATAGTAAGTATCAAATGGTATGTTTTAACTCACATCTTTGAAGCAATTCAAGATAAGAAGGCATAAAGAGCACCACAGGAGGAGGAAGCAAACGATCACAGACCACGCTTTTTATTCTGCCTGGGGTGAGTCAGAAGGTTATGAGAAGCCCATTCCATGTCACAATGTGAAATTTTACAAGGTTCACTGAATTTAAAGGCTTGAAGATAAAGGTCTGACCAACAACCATTTTAAAGAGAAAATATAGATCCCTGGTACACAAATAACCATAGATGGTTCAAGAAACTGCCTCAGATGCCAGTCTCTAACCATGAAAGTCTCTAAATCAAGCCAGTAATTGTCTCTTCTATTTTCAAGAAGAGGGACTTGAGGGGATTACTGCCCTAACATCTCTATTTCATAACTTTCTCTTATGTATAATGGACAATAATTTCTCACCAAAGTTCAAATTCATAAGATGGGTTCATTATCAGATGAATAATGAGGAATTTGAGGGAAAAAAGAAGCACAACCAACTATCAGATTCAGCTGTCATCTGAATTCAACCTACAAGAATTCTTCAAAGTAAGAATTTACCTTTGGCTTGAATGTTTCCAGCAAGGTGGCTTGTTCGTCTTTTGCCACCCCTCAGAAAGTCATTTATTGTTCTAAGTTATATAAGTCCATCCCCCTGTAACTTTCGTCCACTGCTCTTTGTTCAACTTACTGAAGTCGTCTTAAGAAAGTCTGATCCTTCTTCCATTCCGTACTTACACATGTTGGTATTAAGGGCTTCCCTCATGGCTCAGTAAGTAAAGAATATGCCTGCAATGCAGGAGACCTGGGTTCGATTCCTGGGTCAGGAAGATCCCCTGGAGAAGGAAATGGCAACCCACTCCAGTATTCTTGACTGGAGAATCCCATGGACAGAGGAGCCCAGCAGGCTACATACAGTCCATGGAGTCGCAAGAGTTGGTCATAACATAGTGACTAAACCACCACCACCACTGGTATCAAATCAATGTGAAGGTTCTTATCTCCTGCTTAAAGTTCTGTCTTCCATATAGGATACCACGTTGCTTGCTGCTTATCTCTGTCTAACAAACTGTGAAGACCCAGATGGCGCTAGTGGTAAAGAACCCGCCTGCCAATGCAGGAGACATAAGAGGCTCAGGTCAGGAAGATCCCCTGGAGGAGGGCATGGCAGCCGCAGTATTCTTGCCTGGAGAAAACAGTATTCTTGCCTGGACAGAGGAGCCTGGCAGGATATGGCCCATGGGATCACAAAGAATTGGACATGACTGAAGCGACTTAGCACACACGCATACAATGCTATCTCAAGAGAACTGCTGGAAGAGATCGTCAAGATGTGAAGGCCAGTTGACCCATAACCTGGACTCATGCAGTCAGAGTCTCCTCACCTCCAACTCTGTCCTGGGGATCCTGCCCACTCTTCTCATTGCCACAGTTATTTTCAAAGATGCACCTAGAGAGCAGTGTGTTTTTGAAACCACCTGGATTGGATACGTGACTGAACATCATATGACCTCTATTATAAATGTTTAAGGCTTTGGCAGATGGGTACTCTCTCTTGGCCACCCAGGACAAGCTCCTGTATGTACGTTTCCTTGCTTATTAAACTTCCTGCCTACCCATCTAGAGTGGCCTGCCTCTTCCTTTTGCCTCTTCTTGTGTCTACATGTAGCAGGGAACAGTTTCAGATATCACTCCAGGAACGCCCCATGTCTTGAGCCATCACGAACACTCGGTCACTTTCTTCATGTTCGTGCTCTGCATCCACCAACGTATCTAGACCACGACATTATTGTGCCACATCACACTGCTGCCACACACTGCACTGATGCGAGGTCCCATCTTTACTCTGCTAAAGTAGCACCTCCTACAATTGGCACTTGGGAAGATCTCTTTGTGCTAAGAAGCACAACCTCAAATTTGTTCATTTTGATAGTTTCAGCCTTTATTTCAGCCTGTAAAGGTCCTTTTAGTCCTGATTCTGTCATCTATTTATAGCATATTCAATACTATTCCCATTTTTGGGTCATCTATAAATCTAATAAAACAGCATCTATATTTTAATAGATTAAAAACTCTAACAACACAGGCTTAAAAAAATTAAAAGAAGTCCCACAGCAGGTTAACTTGAACCAGCTCTCCATTACCCTTTTTTGGGTAACATCACCCATTTCAAATCTTCTAAATATACTATTGCTCTATTTTTCCATTGTGTCCAGAAGGCTACCATGGAATGTCTTTGCCAGAAGGAATACAGGTGGAGAAAGTTAAGAGAACCACGAAAACCTTATGAGCATTATGATTAGGTGGGAATTTCTAAATCATCTGATATCTTTTCAGGGAGAATTTTTAAAATCTCAAGAACTCAAACTTCTATAATCCTATACTTTATATTCTAAATGAATATTTTGTATTTATTCAACTGCCTTGCACTACTGCAAGCCTTCTGAAGAAAAAAGTCTTAATTTAGTGTCACTTTTTCATCAAAAAAGTAGATAAGTTTCTCTTAAAAGAATGTGAAGCCTACACAAGCATCAAGCATGTGAAGCAGAAATGAATTTTGGTTGACTTTAATGGCCAAAGACTCCTGAAAGCAATATAGTGCACTTTCCAAACCTAAGCCTGATTTCTGTGTATTAGCAATTAATTTAAGAAAGCAGGATTTCTAGATACATACCAAATTTAGACACAAATATTTTAACATTTCACATGTGACAATATGAACTGTTCTCAAAACTAAGTGAAACAAATTCCAGCTGGCAGTGAGTTGACAGCCAGGCAGGTAGAGAAGCAAATGGTTCCTTCAGGTGGGTCTCTCACTGGCATTCAAGTTCACATGTTCTAGCTGGCTGTGAAGATCTCCCAAGTCCCTCAGAATCTGGGACTCCAATGCAGAAAACGGGTTCATCCATTATTCATCATTACTTCACACCAAATTTCTAAATTCGTATCTGACCTGGAAAAAGAAAAGGCTGGCTCCTATAAACCTGAGGAGTTGTGCAATAATGTGATGGGAGGTAACACAATGTGACAGATCAAAGGAAGGGCACATCTGAGATTCTGAAACTCAATTTGAGATTTCTTTTATTCCACACAGAAAAAAATCTAGTTGCCTGCCATTCCTAAACACTCCAATCTTCATCTGTCAAAATCATAATTGTCAAGGGGAAAAAATACATTAAAAAACTGTGGTGAACTCCCACTATACTCTCTAATACAAAGTTTGATGTTCTATTTACTGACTTCTTACTATGGATAAGAGCTGAGTTCTTATAATTTAGGTTTAAGGAGAAAGTGGTTTTGCTAAGAGAAATGAAACACAAGACCAGAACAAGCTAATCCCATGGTGCAAAGACCCCATTTCTTTCTTTTAGTCCTGGCAAGTATATTTCAAGGAAATCTAATAGTTACATAACCAATGCCGTTGTGTGGTTTTCAGCTGGATTTGTTTCTATGACAGGGTCATGCTCAGCCTGTAGCAGCACAAGTAATGAGTGAAATGCAAATGTTTGAAGCGTTTGCTGTTGCAAGTCAAAGAGAATCTGTTTGCAGAGAGGAGAGCTGGACTGCGCAGTGATGGAGGAGGGCTCCCTGAGCCCGTGGAACCTAAGATCGTGGTTGTCGGTTCAAATAAAAGGACCACACGCAAATGTGCTAATTGCCAGGAGGCAGGTCAGAGAGGCTCTCTTAATTAAAATGAATGAATTTCTACCCAAATATTTCGGCTTATTGCCAGGGTTTCTACTGTCTTCTCTAAAGCTGGCTCGTTGAAGAGCCTGGTTTGAATGTGGTGTGCAGTGAATGTAAAGGATCACAAGCTGAGGGCCCTCTGCAGAAAAACCC